GTTGATGTAGTTTATCACCTGATGTGTTGGTCAGGACGAGATTGTCTCGATCACTGATCCAGACCCGGTCTGATGAAATACGGGAAATATGACAACCACGATTAACACCTGTCACTGTGAAAGATTTCTGTAACACTAATCTATACATTTCTTTGTCTTTACTCTGTGGTTTCTTGATCTCCATGAAAGAATCTCCTGTTGATTTCCTGTCAGGGAAATTTCTCTGTAAATTACAACACTGTGTTAGAATTATCTACATCAGTAACACGTTTCTCTTAATACAGAGTTTTCAATGGACCTGGTGCAATCAGTACATTTAGCTTAGTACAAGTGTAGCTTGATACCTATTACCTACCATGTAGCTTTATTTAGCTACTTGAAGTAGGTTGATAGAAGAACTGACTCAGGACAAGCCAGGTCCGTAGGATAACATAACGATAGAATGTAGGTATCAACCCAATTAAATATATTGCTTGTACCAGGTCACTGAGGTCAGTATATTCTCTTTAGAGAAGTGGACAAGCTTTCGACTACATCCACTTCTCTTCGCAGGCCGTCACGTTGTTATTCTGGAAAACATGTAATTGAAGAACCCGAGACAGCCTACACTTTAACTAACATTTCGTCTAAATATGTCTGATTGTTCGTAACAGACATGTAACATTAACAATTTTAACATAAATAAACTCAACTGTCACAAGAAAACAAACCTTTACATATATTTTATCCATATTTACAACTTCTCATTCCCGAATTCAAACTCATGCTTTTCTACCATGGCTTATTCGCAAAATGTGAAAATTCTAAGTCGGATATTTTGGAAAACATTGTTATCAGTATTATAATTGTACCTTTCCAGACTAAAAAGATTTAAAACCAAGTTCAAAAGAATAACTGAACAAAACTTGAGGAAATAATGCCTCGTTAACTTAAATATAATAGACAATTTCTACCGTTTCACTGTGACATTTTGAAAAATATATTTCCAATTTATTCGAATTAGAGATTTTGTATTCCTTCTAAAGTTATTTGCTCCTAATTTAAATCCGGGATGGAGAACTTGTGAAAATGGATTAATAACACATAAAGGTTGGTTTTCTTGTGACAGTTGTATGTACTTATGTTGAAATTTTTTAATTTAACAAGTCTGTTATGTATAATCAGACATATTTCAGACGAAATGTTAGTTGAAGTGAAGGCCGTCTCCGGTTTTCCAGAATAACAACATGACGGCCTGCGAAGAGAAGTGGGTGTAGGCGAAAGCCTGTCCACTTCTCTAAAGAGAATCCCCTACAGGTCAGTGCAGGGAGCAAATATAACATTACAATGTTTTTACCATTTACTCCATACGTGTTGTTTCCACATAAATATTTGTTTTTCTTTGGAGAATCAATAGGTAGGCTTTAAAGGCTTGTTTCGCTTTAAAAAAAAAAAGCCTTTTCCCCCTCGATCCATCGTCAACTTCGGTAACCCGCTCAGAGCCGCTCTAAAAATATATTTCCCTAGCGGTAGCCTTGCGATTCGACACTCGTATCTTAATAATCAGATTTATTAAAAAGTGACTCTTAAAGAATTCTGTATTTTTGAATATTTCCTGTAAACAATCATAAAAATAAGTGTTTATCTAGCAGTTACTGTTATTTCGCTCTTACCTACCGCTTATACAATACAACTCGTCAACACTGATATTAAACACCAATTCATCTAAAATACATGGGGACGAATTCGATCGGTGTCCAGAATTTCGAAATCTCGCGAGAACCTGTTGCTACTTTGGAATGTTTAAATATGGCGGACATTATCAAAAGTGTTGGGTAAATAAAAAAAAATAAGTTGATTAAGCTGATCATAGTCTTATGCATGAACAGTACGAGACCTTAACATGGATCCTACATATACTGAAGCTGTTGCAGCATCTCTTGTTCGAGAATTTTTAAGCAGAAAGGTACTACATTGTAAAAAACATTTTGAGATAATTCGGTCTGTTGTTTACATTGGTATTTATTTATTTCCTCAATTATTTTCACTAAAATTATGTAATCGTAATAATGTAAAATATTATCCGAGATTTTTCTTTGCATTTGTTTATGTTTATGCAAATGATTCATATCCCTACTGATTCTAGACAAGTTAAAAACTGTCTAAGCTATTCAAAACAATGTGGTCCATTGTTTACCAGAGTTTCCTCAGTTAAATCATGTAAATGGTTGCTGCACCATAAAGAACATAAAAAAAGAACTCCTTTAAAAGCATCTCATACGAAACAGTCCGGGCGGCTTAGACACGGCTTAGGCACGGATTCCGTTCCAGAAACCCGTGCTTATAAAATTATCATTCTGTAAGGAATTGGAAAAAATGTTTTTTTCATTTATATGGAATAATTCAACCCATAGGGTTAAGAAAGAAGTAATTGTAAAAAAAATATGAAGAGGGGGGTTTAAAAATGGTAAATCTGACATCTTTTATAGCCTCCATGAAATTATTTTGGATAAGGCATCTAATTTTTACAAATAGAGGGTTGGAAAACCTCATTCCTAAATTTAATTTGAACAAATTTATTAGTTGTGGAATTGAATATACTTCAACTTTTTTAAAAACATTAAAAAATAAATTTTGGATAGATGTTTTTAAGTCCTGGATAATGTTACAAAATCTTGAGAAAAAGTTTGATGTTGCTGGTGACTCACCACTATTTTACAATCCAAATTTGCATATTGGCGGAAAACCATTTTATAATAAAAATATGTTTGAGAGCAACATTAGACAAATTAATGATATCAGTAATGAAGATGGTTCACTATTTTCTTATGAGCAGTTGTGTAACACCTATCCAAATATAAAGATTAATTTCTTAGAATTCAGGAGTATTATTCATGCTATAAAGGATTGGATGAAAAACTCCGGTCAGGAAAAAACAATAAAAAAGCTCACAAATCCCATGATTATGTCTAATATCTACACAGTAACAAAATGTAGAAAATCTAAATGCTATTATGAAATCCTTATTCAAAATTCTTCTGTCACAGCAGGTAGAACTTATTGGAGTGAGCTTTTAGAAGTTGGAACTCAGGAATGGAAAAAAATTCACATGATACCCTTTAGGGTAACAAAAGATTGTAAACTACAATGGTTCCAATATAGGATTTTAAACAAAATCCTAGCAACAAATTCATTTTTATTCAAAATAAGAAAAAATGACTGTAAATTATGCAGTTTTTGTCATACTGAGGATGAAACAATAGAACACCTTTTATGGGAATGTGATAATACACAATTTTTTCTTGAAGAATTTGTACATTTGTTAGAAGAAAAAACTGGTTTAATGATAAATGTTACTAAGAAATCTTTTATTTTAGGATTTATTGAGGAAAATACTGATATTCAAAATGTCATTCTACTTTGGCTAAAATACTATATTTATACTGCCAGGTGCACAAAGAAACATATTAACTTACAAAATGCAATATCACAAATGAAATTTCATTATGAAACACAGAAAATTATCTCTTATAAGAATGGTAAAAAGGAAAAGTTTGATACCCAGTGGAACAGGTGGAATCTTCTATTCTCTTAACTTGAATCTTTACACACTCTCTTTCTCTTCTCTCTCTCTCTCTGCTCTCCCCTCTATCTTTCTCTCTATCATTTCTATCTCTCTTAAAATAAAAAAAAACACATCAGTCTGTTTCTTTTGAAATATGTTTATAATGATGTATGTTGTGTGAATAAAAAAAAAAAAAAAAAAAAAAAAAAAAAAAAAAAAAATTCCTGCACCAATGTAAAGTATTTATGGAAAGCCGTGCCTGAAAGTGGTCGAGGCACGGACACGGCACGGGATATTGGCCGAATTATTTAAATGAGATCACACGGTTTTAGAAAATCCGTGTCGGAAAGCCGTGCTTGTTTCCATATATGGACTAACGGATTCTTTAAAACCGTGTCTGAAACCCGTGTCCTTTTCCATATATGGAGACATGGATTTTTGGAAACCCGTGTCAAAAAAGCCGTGTGACATACCATATATGGAGTCACGGGATCTGTGCTTTTGTCTAGATCTAGGTCAGGGCTTGTAGAGAATCTCCTGATGTAACTGCATGTGAATGCCAAAATGCATGGTGACTGAAACCAAACTTCACAATGTTTTATGTTATCATTATGCTTATAGCTTTAGAATTTTAAAAGTTGAAAATCTTATATAAATGTGTCCTGATATACTTTCTGTTAAAGATTAAGATTGCTTTATCAGTTACAATCCATGCTAGCTTTTAATTAAGAATTTAATTGATAATGTACAATTCTGGGAATTGTAATTTTATCTTAGTTTGGACAATCTGAGAAAGAATTTAATTTAAATAAACCTTTTTGTAGCACAGTGATGACACATAAAATATTTGGGGATTAATTAGTGAGAGTACAACTAGAGTCATTCAAATGAACAGAGATGCAGTGTTTCATCATGTTCAATATCAACATTGCAAATACAGAAAGATCATGAAAATTGAAAATGAACTTATATTTGTTCTATCTTAGACTTACTGCATTTAGTTTAAAGTGAGAAAATCCTCCAAGACTGACATCAGTCAGGGGTGTGACTGAAATCCATCATTTTTAAAAATGATGGATAATGGTCATTTCTTCTAAGTATATAATGTACACAATTTTCTGATTTTTGTAAATATGACGTCTTTTCATCATATTTCCATTCTCAAGTCAATTTTCCCATCCCATTTACTACAGTAATTAGATATAGTACACTATCCTGCCATAGACCCTTGTGTAGAGAAACATCTTGACAAGTAATTGAAACCAAAATAATTTAGTGCTCCCCGTAAAACTAATGAGATAATTAAGTGCGCCCAGACCTAACAATTTGATAAAAAATGATGAAAAACAGTCATTTTTAATATCAGAGATAACTCTATTTCTAAAATAAATTTCAAAATAGAAATGACTGTTTTTCATCATTTTACTAAAAAAAGATGAATTTCCATCATTATTAAAAATCAATTTAATGACTGAAAATCATCATTTTTAAAAATGATGGATTTCAATCACACCCCTGACTGGACATAAATACAATTCCAACTGACATGTATCTATTAGTTTAATATCCTTTAACTAGAGTAAAAAAGACACATTCTTAGCTCATGACCATGAATCCCTCCAATTCAATATTCAAATAAAGGAAGATATGATTGAGCATGCTCAGAAAAAAAGCCGTGAGATATAAATAAATAGTTTGAAGCAAAAACCGTCTCCCAGGGACACGGATTCTGTGCCTCCACAAGGATTTCTGTGAGCAGGGATTCTCACTTTCAGGCTCAAAAGCCGTGTCCATGTCTTGGACATGCAGAACCCGTGCCGCGCTGTTTAAAAACCCGTGCGGATTCCGTGCCTTAGCCGTGCCCAAGCCGTGCCTATTCTGCCTCAAACTTTCGTACGGGTTGTGTGTCTAAATATGTCTCATTATTGCATAAAAATAAACAAAAACAAAGAGGGGAAAAAACAAGAGTTAGTCCTTGTGAAAGTTTATTGCCAGTATTCGACATGGACCACATAGGACATTTTGTCCTTTTTTTGTAATCAGTACATGTAACACACGTGACCAAACCTAATTTTGTCAGATCAAGAAACCTAGTTAATGTAAAATAGTGAAACACGTGAAAATGTAATCTTCAAACTCCTCTGTAGACTGACTGTTCGTTCGTCCTAAAAATTGTTCACCCAATTTCCTGTTCGCCTGATTTCTTGTTCACCCAGAGTCCGTTCGCCTTAAAACTTGTTCGCACAGGGTCTGTTCGTTGTAATTTAATGTAGAATATAGGGATGTGCTATTTTATGGGTATACTGGTATATCATGATTTTTTGTTGTGTGATATGTATCATGATACAGAGACCTAAATACCGGTCTTTAGGTACATATTATAAAGTCCAGAAATTATTCATTTATTTGTTCAATCTTTCAAATTACAATTACAGAATGTATAAAAAATGTTGTATAAAGTGAAAAGAACGGCATCTTACCGTCCAAACATAATTGAATTTATATACATAAAAATTTCAAGAAAGTAAAATTTTGTTTTTCTAGCATATTTTTTAGAAAAATAATGACTTTTCACATAAAATCATTGTAAACACTGCTTTTAAAAATATCATATTATCGTGATATTGTGGGAAAAAATCGTGATATATCGCGATACGAAATTTTTGGCGATACCCATCCCTATTAGAATAAAATCTAATGATTTTCTTTCCTAATTTTTTGTACATTCAAAATAAAACAGACCGTCACTGTGTCCGTCAGACATTATGCATATGGTCACAAATGGTCACATCTGTTTTAGTAGCAGCGGTCACACCTACGTCTCAGTCCTTTCATTGTTATCAAAACGTATAGTGCAATTCATAAAAATAACACGGATGTATCCCCCAAATTAACATTGATATTAATCATCTAATTAACTATAGTGCAAACACTTAGTCATTCAAAAAACAGTAGAATCAAATCATATAGGGAGAACCACATATAGGGCAAACAAGATATTGGGCGAAAAATATTTCGGGCGAATGGACTTTGCATGAACGGACTCCTGCAAACAGGTAGATCGGGCGAACATACCCGTTACCCTGCACATGTCACAATATAAAAAGCAGGGGTAAGAGTCGGAGGAATCTCGGATTGGTGAAAATGCAGAAGCACGGAAATCACATACATGTAATACTGTAGACAGTCTTGATACCTTTCCTGTGTAATGGGAGATGAGGAAAATGCAGTGGACCAGACCAGGATTTGAACCCGAGGCCCTTGCATCTCCGGTCAGGTGCTCCACCAACTGAGCTATATCTGGCCACTGGCGATTGAACCCGGCTGACTACCACACCTGTTCCATAATATCAAATGATTTAATTGCTAGTTAAACTTATCACACACCTTTAATTTTGGTCAAACATCATAGTTAGTTATCCTTTGGGTAATTTTACCTTTATCTATAGGGCCTGAAGTGTACACTGCAAATGCTGGACCAAGAAATGCCAAGGGGAAATAATGCCATAAGTAACAGACAATTGCTGATGAAAGAACTTCATATTGAGAAGCTGATGAAGAAAAACAAGGTTTTTATAAGTCAATCTTCAATTTTGTTTGTTTGTAATTTTTTAAGTTGAAAAAAGCCTTGTGCAATCATTCAAAATTTGAAATTTATCTTAAATCTTCTGGGCTAAGAAAAATAACTTAAATATATACATATATCTTATAAATAAGATCCAGGATATCCAGGTTTCATGATTGGAACACAAATGAATTAGAATATCAGTATCAGAAATGCAAAATAGCTAAGTTCAACATTATATTTTAAAACCCAGAATTTTCAAGTTCATTCATTAGTAAAATCCTCCTATCTTTGTTCACAGGAAATGTTGGAGCCCTTAAGAACAATGTTAGAAATTATAACCAAATATTTTCTGGAGATGACCAAACCAAGTGACGTGCCTATGATGTCATCGTCCCAGGATTCCCGGCCAGTGTCTTCCTCCCAGTCGTCGCGGTCCAGTGATCCTAATGATTTGATAAGTCCCGCTGCTGATAGGCCTACTTCCTCTGGTTACGGCTCTGCCAAGTCTAAGACAAGTAATTATTGCCAGCCTGTCTAACTTGTGATGCATAAAACACATAACTGCTAAATATGTTGACTTCACAGGGTCTAATTTTTTTTAAACCTTTGTTCTCGAAAAATATCTTGTCCTAATTAAAAATATGCTTTTTTCCCCCAAATTATGGTAAATATCTTCAAATGATAAGCATTTTTAATTTTTCAAAATTTTCTATCTTTTGTAAATATAACTACATGTATATAAGGACCAAAATGAAAATACAAGTACAACATTATTTTATATTTAGTAGGATTTTGAAAATCTGCAACATGATAAATTTGAAGTCATAATATCTGATTGTTCAAATAGCATGATTTCTAACACTGATATGAAAAAAAAAATTCATACAATGTAAACCTCTTTTTTTCAAATTCAGATCCTATTCAAATGCATAATTTTTTAAATGTACAAATGTAGGTGTGCGTAATGGTAACCAGGACCTGATTATTGATGACGATGTTGAGGGTGAGACTGTCCTGGGGGGAGGGAAGGCGGGGCTGATGGATAAAGAGGAAACCAATGACTATCTTCCCACCCCACAGAGGCTCCAGGCTAGACCGGTCAGTGCCAAGAGGAAAGGGCTATCTGGACCAATCACCAGCAACTTAGAGGTCAGTTAGACAAATCAGATGTCAGGGATGTTGATTACTAAATGTGGCAGTTTAACATTTGATTTGGATGTAGGAGGAGTCATTTGGTGTTTTATTCATTTTGACTTATAATCACAGAATGCATCATTCTAGTAAATTCAAAAGATTAAAGATATTTTATCTGTTTCAACATTTCAGCTGGAATCAATTTATTTTGGTTTATAAATATCAAAAAAATGAAAAATATTTTGATGCCCCTGTTGATGATATTTTGAATAGACTAGGATTTTTTTTTTTTGATGTAGTCAACACATATAAATTTTCATGATTCCTTGGAAACCAACATGTAACTTTTTTTCATTTACAGGACTCAGGAAGAAACAGAAAACTAAACAAACCTCGACCTTTGACCTCAGGGTCTCGCAAAATTCTCCTTGATTCCACAGAAACAACCCCTGAACCTAGGCGGACCTCATTAAATGAAGACAGACTTTCCGGCCTGACTTTGGGTCAGGGAACAGGAAGTGGCATTGGGCGTGACAGGAAGTCTTCAATACAGGATGTGTTGGATGTCAAGGAAACGAAATCAACAAAACAGAAATCTGTCTCTGGGCGACGTCAATTGTCCATGGAGGATGATTTACCTGGGGACTACAGTGTAGATAAATCCAGTATTGCGAACAGACCCCCAACCAGAGGGAGTCAACGCATAGAAAAGTGAGTAAAACTATAATAAAATTATTTAATTTTCTTGTATAAGAAAAGAGCTAGTATTTTGTGAAGTATATTTAGATATTTAAACATATATATAAGGGAGAGGGTACATTAAGCTGTAGTCTAAAAAGAAGCTGATGTGTTGGAAAGTTAAACTTCTTCATGGGAGATAAATACAGGATCATTAATATGAAAAACAAAAGAATATCAAATGGATTATGTTTCCATGCTCTTAAATCAAGTCTCCCATCCTACTGAAATGTCATGAATGGCATTTAAACTAAACATTGTCATATTCAATAAAGCTAACCACAGAGATTTTTTTATCTGTCTTGGATCATGTAAATCAAAGATTGATGTCAAAACTTATAGACAATGTCAAAGTAGAGGCCACAAATTTTTTTTTATATGACTGAGGCTGTGAGGCATCATGTTTCTTAAAGCAATTTTATTATTCTCTAGTAATAGAGTAGGAGGGAATATAGTTAGGCACTTGTGTGTTAGTGTTTTTTTTTAGTTTGTCCTGTGTGAAACTGAAGTGAAATAATTAGCATCAGAATCCATGCTTCACTTTGTGGAGCCCTTGCTTTACAAAAAAAATTTAAATTACATCATTCTGAATTTACTTTTTCATTTCATCAGATCACCTTCCAGCAACTCTCTTTCATCAAAAGCCTCTACAAAAGTGGGAGATGTAGAATTTGGTGATTGTGATGACCTTGACTCAGATCTAGCTGACCTTGACCTCGGTCCAAAGCTCTCTGTTGGTCGAACAGTTCAGAACTTGATAGATGCTAGACCAATCACCCTGCAGACAGCAATAGTAAGTAAATATGTATAATTACAGTATCATTGTGTCTGTCATACTTTAACATGAATATTCACTGAGACTTCCAGTTCAAAATTGCATGTTTTGATACACCTGCAGATCTATGCCTTTGTATAGAAAAAAACTGCCTTTGAAAAAAATTCTGCAAAATTGGTATATTCATTGCTTATATATCAACTTTCAAATAGATGAGGTATTCTGTTAAGCTTACACATTAAAATCTTTGTATGATTTGATGATAGTTTATTACCTTCAACGATGAATTTAATTGAAAACTTTGCCAATAATGCATGGATGTATGCTTCAATATAGTGTACTATCATCCATAATTCAACTTTCATTACAATTGTATCTTTTTTTCAGAACCTAAAGTCTTTGATATTTGGGTCAGCAAATCAGTGTTTTAATGATGAATGGAAGTATCAAGGTCTTGTGTTCTGTGACCTTCCCAAGCTTCAGTATGGAATTGTTCAGAGAAAGGTCAGATAAGGATTCTATAGTACTACACAAATAGTTAAAGCTAATGTTTATACAATCAGATATATAAAGAATTAGCTGAATGTGGAAAATCACATTTCTTTCCAATAATATCTGCTAAATTGGAATTTATCCATTAAGGTTCTACTAGACTTAAAATATTGCTATTGTGCTAGGTTTTTTTTTTCATTTTACTTACCTTAACTGACTTAATTTACATAACTTAGTTGTTTTAAAGTAAAAAAAGAATTATTTTTTTATTAAGTCAATTTTTTCAAGTGAATTCAGACCTTTCAAGATTTTTTGAGAAATCAATGTAAATTTGAAATTTGGCTGTAATAAATTAGATGATCTTACAACTTTATAAGAATCAACTTGTATTTTATCCTGATGACATATATTGTACAAGGTTTTAATTTTTACATGCTATTGGATTGTTTAGTTTAAGTGAACCATTCTTTTTAGGGAGGGCCCTGTGGTGTTCTGGCAGCCATCCAGGCCTACGTTCTACAAGAGTTACTGTTTGGTGATTGTAAAATACCACTCAAAAGATTGTAAGTGTAAAATACCACTCAAAAGATTGTAAGTGTAAAAATATCACTCAAAAGATTGAAAGTGTAAAAATACCACTCAAAATATTGTAAGACACAGTGTAAAATACCACTCAAAAGATTGTAAGTGTAAAATACCACTCAAAAGATTGTAAGTGTAAAAATATCACTCAAAAGATTGAAAGTGTAAAAATACCACTCAAAATATTGTAAGACATAGTGTAAAATACCACTCAAAAGATTGTAAGTGTAAAATACCATTCAACAGATTGTAAGTGTAAAAATATCACTCAAAAGATTGTAAGTGTAAAAATACCACTCAAAATATTGTAAGACTTAGTGTAAAATACCACTTAAAAGATTGTAAGTGTAAAATACCATTCAAAAGATTGATGAAAGTGTAAAAATACCACTCAAAATATTGTAAGACTTAGTGTAAAATACCACTCAAAAGATTGTAAGTGTAAAATACCACTCAAAAGATTGTAAGTGTAGAAATATCACTCAAAAGATTGAAAGTGTAAAAATACCACTCAAAATATTGTAAGACATAATGTAAAATACCACTCATAAGATTGTAAGTGTAAAATACCACTCAAAAGATTGTAAGTGTAAAATACCATTCAACAGATTGTAAGTGTAAAAATATCACTCAAAAGATTGTAAGTGTAAAAATACCACTCAAAATATTGTAAGACTTAGTTTAAAATACTACTTAAAAGATTGCTAGTGTAAAAATACCACTCAAGGTATTGTAAGTGTAAAAATACCACTGAAGAGATTGTAAGTGTCAAATACCACTCAAAAGTGTGTGAAGTGTAAAATACAACTCAAACTATGATAAGATTAAAAATGCTACTCACAAGATTGCAAGTACAAAATACCACTAGAAATATTGTAAGTGTAAAAATACTACTACTTAAAAAATTGTTAGTGTAATATTGCCAATACTCAGAATGTTGTATTAAAGTGTAAATACCACTCAAAATAACACTACTCAAAACATTGTACATGTATTACAGTACGTATTACCATGGTAAAGAAAACATTATTTGGAAGATAATCAGATGAAAATATCTTCATGTTTGATTTATTTCAATAAAGTATAAAGACAAAAAAAGACATAACAATAGTTATTGGCAAACATAAAATGAAATTGTGAATTATTGCACACACAAAAAAGAATGCTGTTCAAGTAGAATGTCTATCCATTTATTTTCTAGTGGAGACCCAACACATGAAGAGAGAAGTCTAGCCCTAGCTACAGCTCTGTCCAAAATATTCTGGAGAGCAGGAGAACAAAAGACAGCTGTTGTGGCCATGTAAGCTCAACAATTTTGTTTATAGGCCTAAGTGAAAAATATTTGTTTCCTGTAAACAGACCCAACTGGTGACATTGAAATTACACCCCCTCTCCTTAGATCCGCACTTGCTCTTATTTTTTTCCTTGACTGGGGGGGGGCACAGATTCTCTCAATTAACTTGTTTCTATTGTTTTTATTTCAGAGGTTCAGGAAAGGCTGTGTTTCAGGGTGGAGCTCCAAAGTACAGAGCAGATGATCTGACAGAGACTGTGAGTAATACAACTAGTAAAGACTAAAAGACTTAAATTGTTAAACTGTGTTTTACTTGTTATTCTCCCTGCAGTGAATGGGACATGGTTTACTTGACCATTTTGAAGGCAGCATTTCCTCTGAGAGTTTACAGCTGTTATTTCACTTGTTGTTTCCCTAAGTTTTGTCAGTTCACATGTATATTGTTTTCTATGTCCATTCTTTCATAGATCAAATCAAAAGGATTTTAAGAGCTTTTTGGGCAAATATCTTTCTTTAAGGTTCATTAACCCTCTGCTCACTCATATAAAATGTTGCTTGAACCTTAATGATTTTCCAAAAGAAATGTATACTATAAGTAAAATACAAATAATTATAGCATAGCTTGCTGGGCAAAGTGGACAAAAAAGACACTTCAACTTGGCAAATCTAAATAGGAATAATAGACATTTATGTCATTAAGAGTTATCTCTCTTATCAGAGTATCAATGAACCTTAAATACAATGTACACGTGCTTGTTTCTTGATCTGGTTTACTTTTGTTGACATGATACATGTACATTGAATGAAAAGAAAGTTTTAATTGAAATCTCTCTTCGAAAAGAATGGATTAATATTTAGAGTAGAGTGTTACCTTTCTTTAGTTGATGTGATTGTATGTTCTCCTTTCAGCTGATGTTGAACCACTTTAAGTCGTATGAGGATCTACTGAGCTTCATGACACAAAACGTTCATTATTTCATGACGGATGGTAAAGGGGGTGTGATACTGACCCTATACTCTGCCATCTTCTCACGATACATTGACCAGTAAGTCAGCATACCTTTAAGAGTTATCTCTCTTATCAGAGTGTCAGTGTACCTTAAAGTGAATAATAATTTTAGTAATTTGTATAATAAAGTAAGTCTAACTTTGAGGTTATAGATAAAAAAATCATCATGAGGATAGTAAATTTTAAATTTAAGGTTTTCTCAAGGTTATGCACATGAAGCCTGATGTCTTCTTATTCAAACTTTGAAATCCTAGATGAGAATATTTTTGATTTCCTCTGTTTTTTTAGGGTGAGGGAAGACATGGATGAACCTACAGGGAAACTGATGGGAGCCCATGGATATTGTACTCAGGTAATTCTAGCATGCAAGAAACAGGTAATGTTGATTGCTTTATTAAAGGCTGTTGTAGTATTCAGCTTTTAATTAGCATTTGAGGAATATATATCGAGAATGATTCAATTGCATAGTATATTGATAAAACTATTAGATTTGGATTTATCTATGAACATTAGGGCAACTACATAGGAACTACCTTTAATCTGCTTTTTTTTTGTGGGTTCTTTTTAATACATGTTTTTTAATACATAATTTTTATCTTATTTGTTTTTTTTTTTTTAAAAAGGACATGGTTAATTTATATTTAACTGGAAAAGCCACATCTAATGTGTTCAATGACAAGATAGAGCTGGACTCAGGAACAGGAAGTGATGTCACAGTTCTGAAAGGGGTCACAGGGAGGTCAAATATAGGACTGCTGTCTCTGTTTGAACATTACAAATCTTGCCAGGTAAAGTACATCACAAAATTTCATTGAATATCTGTCTGGAAGGCGACACAGATGAAATAAAGAATATAGAATTTTCCACTAGTGTGGAGTTTCAACCTTGAGTGTAAATAGGATAAATTTATAATCAATTAAAAATTGATTACATATGAATAATTTAAGTGGAGCAAAGATTTTTTTCAAATCATAAAGTTAAGATATTTTAGTAAAACTTACTCAGTACAAACACAGATATTGCAAATTAGGATATAGTTATTCATTTGAATATTTCTATGTAAATTTAAGAAATAAAAGGTCCTTATATGGCTATAATGAATTACAGATATTGCAAAGTAATTTCATAAGTCCCAGTGACTTCGTTATAACCGAGTTTTACTGTGTACAGTGGAGAAAGAGTTCTGCATATTTTAATAGAGGAGTTTTTTTTTTTTTACATTGCTATGAGCTGTAGCTCTCTGATTTGTCTATCTGAATTTTCTCAAATAGAGTCATTGCCTATGAGGTGTCACTGTCAATTTGTATTTTAATTTTCAGGTTGGCACATACCTCAAAACTCCAAAATACCCGATCTGGGTTGTGTGCAGCGAGAGCCACTTCAGTGTTCTGTTCTCCATCAAGAAGGAGCTGGTCAGCGATTGGAAGGCAGAGAGACGGTTTGACCTATATTATTATGACGGCCTGGCCAGACAGCAGGAGGAAATCAAACTAACCATTGGTAAATTTGATAATTTTGCTGACTACTAAAGGGGGTGGAGGTGGTGAAAATAAACCTTTCCATTAATATATTTTTATCTTTAATAGATTAAAAACTGAAAAAAAGAAAAGAATAAAAAGAATAAATTCTGCATAAATTTAAATGAATAAACATAAACTGCGTAACTTTCAATTGACTTTTAATATTCATTAAGTTTAATATTTTTTCTTTCACTTTCAAAACAGAACAACAAACTCTTATTTTTTTGTTTTGTGTGTTTGTTGTTTTTTTTTTTTTCATTTTGGTAACCTTTTAGGAAGGTAATAAACAGAGGATTGAGAGTTGATTGAAATTAAATAGATAATCATAAAGTACATGTATTTAGAATTTTTTGATCTTTAAATTTTTCAGATACAGTAGACATGGGATACCAAAATGAAAAATCTGAGGATGATCTTGTCCCTCCACTAGAATTGTGCATACGAACAAAGTAAGCCTTTATCTATTATTTTATTTTTAATAGATACATGTACCTGTTGAAATGTTAATGACTTTAGCTTTCTTAAGATTGACTGATTCTATAGGGATAAGTAGATTTTTTTGTGAATAATGTTCTTTGACTGACTGATTTGCTTCATTTATTTATGTTTGTTTGTTTTCTTAGGTGGTCTGGGGCAAACGTAGATTGGAATGGAAGTGAACCGCTCTTGTAACAGTACTTCTGATTGGTGGATCTTCTAAGCTTAGATATGCCAGTTTTAACTTGCATAGCTAGAAAACCAAACTAGGAAAAAATGAATCAAAGATATAAGCCCAGAGACAACAGGGTGTGAACAGTTTTTGATGCAGCAAGAAATATTTTGGAACAACTCTAGAAAGGAAAGTGACGTAGCATACTGTTTTAATTTATTCCTTATAGGCAGAGAAATAAGGGAATATCTTACCTCTTCTAGGAAGAAAGAATGGACTGATACATTCATGATGTGACTTGTAAAGGTGTAAAATATAAACATTTCTTGTTATACAATTAAATAAAATGCTAGACATTTTTTTTCTTCAAGATCTTGTTTTTTGTGAACTTTTATTTAAAATGTTAAAATTTATTTCAATTCTGCTGATTGTATTATTTATTTATGAAATTATTTACATTGTGTCTTTTGTAAAGAAACATATTTTGTGCCAAGTATACATGTAGATGTTTACTTGTATATTCAAATTGTGATATTGTAGTTAAAAAAGTTAAATCTAGGGGGCGAGGTTATATTATACAGTACTGTTGTGAATCTTAATGCTGCAGCTAAAAATATACTGTTTATGTCATTTTTGTCTACAAAACACCAATGATACATTACTATTTTTCCATCCTTTGTGTGAAGTCAAAAGTTTACTATAATATACTGTACCATAATTATATATTAACTATTCATTTAGTTATTTCTTGTGTCAGACCAGGCCTGGGGGCCATAAAACTTAGACAAGCTCACTTTTGATCTCAGTCAAACTTTTTCCAAAAGGAATTAATAGTGGAAAAGTGAGATTGAAATCAAAAGTTTTATGGCCCTCAGGCTTTGTGTTTCGTTAACTTTTGGTTCATTTATTTTGCAAATACCAAAAACATAGAGCAAAAATTCACTTGCAAAATTCAACATTATACTTGTAGAAGTTATCTACCTTTAAAAATTATCCATGTTCCCAAATTGTGTAAATTAGCCTTCATTTTTGGATGTGGTATTTCAAGCATAAGATTGAATAATTTATTTGAAAAAGAAGCATTCAAATGCGCAGAGGGAAGAAAATGATACTGAGCATGTGTTCTTGTTAAACTTGCAGAATTAAAAAAAAAGTACAGTACTGCAGCATGAACATACTTATTCTGTGTTCAAACACATGGTTGTTTGAGGGGAGCACTTAATTTGCTTACTATAAATGAACATGTAGTAATAAAATGATATTTATTAAGAGAAATAAATTGTTTTGTTGTTTTTTTTTCTTTTGTACATTTATTAGTTTTTGATTTTGACTTCTTGCATACTTTTATTATTATTGACACTCACAAGTATGTTAGGGACTGCAATAAGCTATTGACAAACAAGTTGATGAAATAAGAATATCAACAGTCTCCTTTAAAGTCATAATTTCATCAGTTCATTGTTTAATTTCATTACTTTGAAATACAATCTAATACATGTAATTAAATCCAATACTGAATGATTTTTTTTCATATGATGCTGTCCCCTGTTAGCACACCTTGGTACACAATAACAAAACGGAACATTAAAAACTTTCGAATTTATTTCTAAAATGTAGGAAAATATTGTTATACATGTATGTTTTTAGTTATGATGGAGGATCACAACGATGGATGGGTGATTCCACAAATTTGAGACAAATTGTGTCACTCATGAAAAACACTCTAATATTCCTGTTAAATAAAACAAAATTTCCCTGATTTTGTTCTAAATATTAGATAAAAAGATATTCTTTTTTTGTATTGATGTGCAAAAATGTTAAAGTTTGATTTTATTAATGAAAAATAATGTCACTGTATCATGTATCAATGACGTATATCAGTGTCCCTATGATAGACTTTCCACTTTCTGTGGGTTTTTTGACGATCTAATTTTTGTTTTTCAGTTTTATTTGTCTTATTTATTCTTATACATTTCTCCTAAGTATGTTTCTTTTTTTATTCAGTAGGTTTTTTGATCATACTACTAAAATTTTGTTGTATATTTTTGTGTCACTTAATATTTCGTCATGACCGAAACGATTGTGCAATCTGCTATTTAAAATAGAGTTACTGCCCTTTGAATTATTACTCTCCATAAAAGAAGGCTTATAAACTACTAAAAGTTTTGATGGCAGGAAAGGAACAGTGTAGGTCAAAAGGTTTAGAAGGAAAATCCCGTTGTAAGTATCTTTTTTTATTAGTTCCTTTATGGTTGATCATGACCGAATGTTCTAAAACACGATAATACAAATATTTCACATAGTAAACTTGTTCCAAACGGCTTTATTTAATGTTTCTTCAATGTTATATACATCATTGTACCATCCATATAGTATGTATGGTGAGCTGATCAGGAAATAACTCAATTTATGTCATGACCAAAACTGTCATTTACCGCAACTTAATATGTTGTGGTCATGACAATAGTTACTATTTTCAACTCAAACTTTTTATCATTTATTAATTTTGCTAAAACAACAACATATATCATTAAATATTTTAAAATATCAACATTATAATTGATTTTTTATTTAATAAAGCATAAAACAATTGATTTTTTTAGTGTTTCGTAAAGAGTTGGACTTGACAGACAAAAATCATGCATAATTACACCGTTTAATTTATTTGATGTTACATTGTTTTTTATTTTTATTTTTATTGGTGTTTTGGTGTTTTTATTTTAGAATTATTCATTGACATTTTTATATGTATAATAAAGCAATGTCATGACCAAAAATTTGATGTCATGACCGAAAATTTTAGTCATGACCACAGCACCAGTCTTTCGTGCAAATAAAATTACATGCTATTAATTATTAGTAAAAAAATAAGCCTTGGTGATATAATTTACTTCATTTTATGCCTGTTACTTCCTAAAACGTATTAATATTTGTTTTTTACAACAACAAAAATTGATTTTGTAATTACAAAAATAGCATATTATTACATCTGGCGATTTATTTGGCCCTCCACAGAATAGAAACGTATTCCAAAATTCTACAACTTCTATTATATTACAGAGTATTAATTTTCTTTTCATTTTCTTTTCATTGGTTAAAAAAAATATTTCTTTTCAATATATAGAAAAATAGAAACTGCATGTTTTTATATCGTTGCGGTCATGACCAAAGCATAAAAAATTGATTTTACTTCTTAAATATAATAAAATCTGTTTTCTTTGACTTGTGACTATCGTTAAAATTAAAGAGCATATGTATTACAAAGCTCATTGAACCATGTTGGACAGAGAAAGAAGAAAGAGCAATATTAACTTCTTCACTTATGAAAATTGTCTCAAATTTGTGGAATCACCCGGATATGCCCTCTACATTCAAAAAAGGGGAATAACTTATAATGTACAGTCATGTATGTCATTGTCAGGCCATTGTTTAACATTGAACTGTCTACAGATTTTTCTGTTTTCCTTATCATGACATGGAACCCATGGCGAGTGTGAGCGGTTTACAGGGGATGCTTACTCCTCAAGGACACATGACCCCATCTCTAATGTTCTTAAGGATCCGTGTTTCCACTTCACCAGTATGTATTGTTTCCATGGACTACTGAACTTGCTTACTGTTGGTTAACTTAATTAATATTTCACACATGAAAGAAAGTACATGTACTGTATGTACTGTACTTAAGAAACAGAACGAACTAATTTTATCTGGCGTGAAGTGGTAATTATATTGTCCAAAGAACTGATGTTTTAATATTTCCATTTCTATTTGTTTTCTCTGTGACAACTCTTTGAAAGTGAGTGGGGTTGGTTTCTTGATAATTCTACCAGAATTTAAATTAAGTAGGCAAATCGATAAGTCAGGAGCTAAGGAGGCCTCATATGCATGTAAATCTCGTGCGGCTGTCTTTGTGTTTGACGTCAGTGGACGAGGACTATTGAAATTGACATGGGAGACCTCGTGTTATTTAAATCTAATAGTCTAAATTTTAAAAATCGAAATCTAAAATTTCATTTCACAATGAAATTGAAATATAAGGAACCACTGTCTAGTTAGTATAGTATGCAAGGGACATCAACGATATTGGGAAACGTGGGATAATTTATGCATAACGTATCGTTGATACCCTGGCATGCTATACTATTAACTGGACAGTGATTCCTTTAGAGGTCCATGTTTGCTCTTTCAATGGACTGTTGAGCTTGAATACTGTTCGTTGCATCCATATATTTCATTGTAGTAACCCATAATGCAATTCAACACATTTGGCTGGTTGGTAGATGCGATCGAGTTGCATTGGTACCTAATTTGATAGTATGTAAATAAAATATATTCAAATAATATTATTATAGCTTAATCGACCTTTTCAAACATGTCACTGCGTATTGTTGGGTTTAAGACTTATCTTTAACAATATGTAATTAAAAAAAAAACTATGTTCACATTTTCAAAGCATTTGTTTTTCCCATTTAACAACAAATATAACTATATATAGTAAACCTCTTCAACTGAACAAACCAACTTGTTGCATGTGAAATGAATGAAATATATTTTTTTAAAAAGATAAATTACACAAAATACAATTAAAGGCCCTGTCACACCAAGCTGCGTTCACACGGAGTCATTACGGCGTTGTTAAATTTTTAAAAACGCCGTGGAATCGCAGGGAAATTGCACAAATTTCTGTAAAATTTTGAAGATGTCACGGCGTTCCTGCGGCGACGGACGCGATTGTACGGCGATCTCACGGCGTTCTACTGCGTTTCCACGGAGATCTCTCGGCGATTGACTGCGCTTCTGCGGAGTTTTCACGGCGTGTTAGGAGTTTTCACCTCGTGCTCATGGCGTTCTCACTGCGCTGGCTGCGTTCACAATACGTTCACAATGCTTTCTATACCCATTGATATATATTCAGAAAGAATTTAAAACATTTTTGTTTAAAGGTTCAAGTTACACGATGAAAAGACTCATAATCATGGCAAGAAATATTATGTTCTGTTTGAATAATTTAGTACTAAATTATTAATAGTTTTATGATTAAACTCCTCGGTTCAGATGTGTTGTTAAATTTTCTTTGATTTTATTATGAATGTAAAAAAAATAAACACACTGAAAAGTTGCTATAAAATTTAAGTGAAACAACAGAACAAGTTCTGCTGGTGTAATTTTCTCTCTTATGTTTTTCTTAAATGCTCCTATACAATTATTGCTGATCAAATATGATGCCATTGCTCTTGTTTTGTGAGCTGGCTATCAACGCTCTAACAACGGCGTGAAAGCGCATTGTGATCGCCAACGGACGCTATAGAAACGCCATGGGAGCGCAACGATCGCAGTGACAACTCCGTGTTGTCGCCGTGTATTCGCAGTCAAAAAGATAACAAGACGGTTCATCTCATTACAAGCTCCGTAAAAGCGCGATAGAAGCGCAGTGACACCTCCAAGGACTCCGCGAAAGCTCCTTGAGGTCTCCGTGGAAGCGCAGTATACTATCATTGCGTTCGTGCCGCGATCATGTGCGTCCTTACGGCGTTCGTACGGAGCTCCCACTGCGTTTTCGGAGATCTCACCGCGCTGCTACGGCGATCACACTACGTTTCTACTGCGATTTTATTAGACCGCGATCACACGGCGCGTACTTTGTGCATGCCCAACGTGATCGCCGTCCCCTGGCGTTCTAGGATTCCCTATACGCGACCCTACCGCGTGCAGTGGAGATCTCGCCGCGTTGTCACGGCGCTGAAGGAGACTCTACTGCGATCACCTCGGCGTTTTGCATTTTTTATGAACGCCGTGCGATCGTCGTGAG